GCTGCGGTCAGACAGTGCTCTTCCATGCACCCCTCGGCAGCACATCCCCCGTTCTGGCCAAAGGCAACCTCTGCTCTTCCAGGTCTCATCCTGCAGCCTGGATGAGCCGAGCGTCTGCATGAGCTTCCGCGCGGGGGCCGGTGCCCCTCTTGCGTTTCATTTCTTTGTCAGACAATACACATGCATTTTGCTTCTCCAAAAGAAGGGTGAAATTCAGACTGCTAAAGAATGGTCAGAACAGTTTGTTGAGTGTGGCTTGTCAGGCAATTAAGGAAGGATCAGGTCTCCGAGAGCTTCACTTATCAATTACAGAGCCAAGGGTTTACTCACACTCCTGGCTATTCCAGAAGAAATGTTGCTGTGCGGGGTTAATGTATCCTAGTGAAGAAAGTGGATACTGTGGAAAATGAGAATATACGGAGCAATTCTGCCTTTTTGAAATCTTCATATGCTGTTCTGCATCAGGAAGGGAGGCAGGACTGTGCAGGACAACAGTGTTATCTACAGTGCTGGTCTCGTCTTCGAGTCCTTCGTTAATAGGTGTCACCTACTGTTTCTCTATAACAGTACATACATTTATGTATGCTTTTACTGGGTGAATGAGAGAGAAGAGGTGAGGAAAATGAAATGTAAACAGCACGTTCTGCAGCATGTTGGGTTGTAAAATACAATCAATAAACATGATTCTGTTCCGCTGCCCTGTCCCACGACAAGCTGCTCTCCTACAAACTAGGAGAGCTACGAGAGCCTGAGATAAGCCAGAGCAGAGATCAGCTTTCACAGTATGACGAAAGCCCCCGTCACTGCTCTAGTGCCCCAGGAGCAAGAGGCCAGGAGACCTGGCACTTACTAAAGACAGTCCTGAGATGGTCCCCGAGTGCAAAGAATTGGCTGTTGCAGAGAAGAGCCTTGCAGGGGGTGAGGCAATCGGCAGGGTCGTTTAGATTGTCATTGACGCTGGGATACTTTGCTGAGCCCAGGCACCGGGTCTCTTACCAAGCACGTGGGACTCTATCGTGTTCCCAAAGGACTCTGCCTGTGCAGCCCTTCATCTGCTTTGCGGTCAGAGTACCCCATGGCTTGTCTGTGCCAGACAGTAAAGTGTCTCCAGCTTTGTTGCTTGGGCACGTCTTAGCGTTATTCAAGTCGGGATAAGTGTTCCCACAGTGAATGCGATGCGTCCTGTGTGTTTGCTGAAGGTGCAACCCCCTCGTCAACCTGAACTATGCTGTCCTGCTGTATAACCAGGGCGACAAGAAGGGAGCCCTCAGCCAGTACCAGGAGATGGAGAAGAAGGTCAATGCAGTGAAGGAGAGCAGTACTCTTGACTTTGACCCTGAGGTATGTGCCTAACAGTTGTCAGCGGGAACTAAGTGGCCACGCTAAGACTGGCAAGAAATGAGAAAGAAATTTGGCTCTGGAGTCCAATTATTAGGAAGAAATTCTGCTTATGAGATTTTCCGAGTAGAGCAGTCGCCTGCTGAGAGCTGCTTGCTTCATTTCTGCTCTTTGAAGCCCAGTTCTTCAATCAATACACAGCAAGACAAGATTCCCTCTTAATTAAGGGAATGAATTAGCAGAGATGTTTCCCTTGAGCACCAAGGCAGTAGCCAGCTCTGCACAGCTCTCATTTAGCCAGCTCTGCACAGCTCTCATTTTTTGCGTTTTTTTGTGTTGTTCTTGACTTTATTGTTGTCTGAAGTGTTCCTGTTTGCAATGGTCTTCTCTTTTTGCTTCTTGAGAAGATGGTGGAGGTTGCCCAGAAGATGGGAGCTGCCCTGCAGGTGGGGGAAAGCCTGGTCTGGACTAAGCCTTCTAAAGAGTCTAAATCCAAGCAGAAAGCTGCTGCGTCAGGGAAATCCTCCGGCACTCAGCAGCCTTTGGGCTCTAACCAGGCCCTGGGTCAAGCCATGTCCTCAGCTGCGGGGTATGGGAAAACCATGCAGCTTCCCCCAGGTACTTCTCTCTTGCTTCTCTTTAACGTAGAACTGTGGGAGAGGAGAAAAGAAATCTCTCTTCCTTTGAGTACAGAGTTACAGCACGTGTTTAGGAAGGTGTTGACTTGCTTGCACGGTAGTGGTGTCAATATTTGGTAATAACTTTCCCAGATTTCTGAGTTAAGGAAGTGTGGAAGGAAGATGCTCTCTGTGGTGTATTATACTATCCTGCTTTTGCAGGGATGCGGAAAGCCAATAAAGTTTCCCTTCCTGCCTAGAGCCATGATAGGCAAGACTCCATTAGCACGGGATTGAGATCTTGCTCTGGAAAGGAGGTGGTTTCAGAAACCAGACCTCCTGTCTTCCTTTGGAAGAGCCCAGGAGCTGACATGAACAGGCAGGCTGCTGGAGAGAAGGGAGATGATGGACAATTTTCTGAAGCGCTTTATCATTTCTGTTACAAAAATAACTGCAGCTGGATTGCTTTGAAGCTGTCCAGCCAGGTCCCTCCTCCCTTGCTGCATTACCTTTTAGTGCGGGCCACTGGACTGAAGGTTGCTCAGGAGACAGCATCAGCCTTAGAAGGCTTCGGCCAGTATCTGTACGTGCCGCTTCTTGCTGGGCCTGGGTAGGAGCATTTCCTGAGCCACCATTCATAGCCTGACCTCCTCTCACCCCTTGGCTTCCGAGGAGGAATGCGCTAGAGATACTGCTCGTCGTGGTGACTTTCTGTCACTCTTAGTCTTGTTTCCTGTGGACTGAACCAGGAGAGAGGTTGTGTAATCCAGGCCTCTTTCTTTGGCACCCCTAAGGACCTGTTCCATTTCTCATGCATGGAAGAAACTTTCCATGCAGGGAAGACTTAGTCAGGAAAGCTGAAAAATAAAACGTACAGGAGTTTGGGGTTTACCTGAAGGACTTTATTATCCACATCAGAGAAGGGAGCTGCTTCGTAACATCAGTTGTCGGCCTAAATCTAAGCATAGAAACAACTTCAGCATGGAAGTGTCCTGTTTCGGTTTTATTCTGTAAGTAGCTATGTTAACTGCCTGGAAACTCTCCTTGAGTTTGCTAAAACTGTGAACTGAAAATGGTACTGTGGTTTTGGCTCCAGCTTGACTATAAACCAGCTTCAGTGGAACTATTTTCCCTTCCAAAGCATGAGTTAATTCATAAGTTTGTACTGACTTCTCACAGCAGCCCAGCTGAATGCGATCCTGTACCTTAGCTTCCCTTCAGCAGAACTTTGGGTTCTGTAAGGTCTCTGGCTGCATAACTCACAAGAGTTGACTGCTATTGATAAGCTAATGCTAGACAGAAGAAATCTGAGAGTAATTAATAGCTGTGATTGTTCTGCATCTCCATGCTGCCTGGAGGGGCAAAAAGCATAGACTAAAGACGTGTAATCATACAGTAACTATAACTGTGTTCTCTCCCCAGGTGCTGGAGCATCAGCTCCGCTTGCAAAGCCTCCCTCGCTGCCTCTGGAACCAGAACCGGGCTCAGAAACGAGCCCCGAGGAGACCTCGGCACCAACGGGGGCTGAGGAACAGAGGAAAGAAAAGCACAAGAGCCGGCAGGCAGCGGACTAGGACGGACTCTGGTTGGGACAGGCAGGTGCAGGAGTATCTCCAGCGCTGCCTGCTGACTTGTGGGGAAAGGGACCTGCCCTCCCCCCCGACCCACGGTGGCTTCACCCCACTGTCAGTTAGTCTAAATGCAGCTGTTTTCTGTTAATGATTTTAGCACGTGGTCTCTACCTTGTCCCAAGGGGTCGTTGCAGCAATCAGAAGAGGTTCCTGCGTAGCTACTGTTGGTGTGGTCACAGCTTACAAGAGACTGGAGGATGGAGATCCATCTCTCCACAGGGTTGGCTTCAGTGTTTGCGTGTAAGTCCTCCAGAAGGATGCTGAGGCATCCAGTATGTTTAGAAAAGCCAGCAGTAGTGACTTAGCATCCTGGATCCCAAAGAGGATCAAACGCTTCCAGTGGCTGAGCTTGTAAGCGGCTGAGGAAGCCCTACGCAGGCTGTAGTAAGGTCAGTGGTAATACGCTCGGAGAGGGGGTGAAGGTAGTGCCCCTCACCAGAGCAAGTGCAGAGCAGTAAGCCAGGCTCGGGACTAGCACGGCCTGGCTTACTGTGAAACAGGGGCTTGTCACTCCCGTTTCACAAGGGCAAGACTTTATAAAGGCTTTCTCAAGGCTGAAAGGAGACTGAAACAGCTGGGAGCTGGTATCCCTGAGCAGGGCAATGTCACGGTCACAGAGCACGAGGGGCACTTTAAAGCCCACACTTTCCTTAGCGGTGGCAGTCGTGAAACGTGGGGGAGCTGCATAGCAAAGGTGAGCTGCTTTGTCTTGAGGCGATGGCTCCATTAACACGCAGCCTGGGGGAGGAGGGATGGCCGAAGCAGACCTGCTGCGCTGGGCTAACGGCACCGTGTGTTGGCCAGCCAGCTGAGCTGGCTTCTTTAGGACTGTTCATCTTCTCATCCCAGGATCGCTCTTTGTATTTCTTGAATCTGACCTATTTTTAAGCATAAGCTGCCATGTGGCAGCTAAGAAGGTTGCAAAGCTGGCCCACAGTAAGGCAAGTGCTCGGAGGCTGGCTATTCTGGAAGCAGGCTAGCTGCAGCAGCAAAAAAGTCTGCCAAATTCCTAATTGTTTGCCGAGAAACAGGGTAGATGAGCCTCAGTGAAGCTCTGCTCCTGTGATTGGAGTTCTTCCTTGAGAATTGTATTGCCCAGCATGGGGGGAAAGATTGGTTTGCAGGAAAAAAAAAGAGCAAGCCTTTCCGGAAAAGACGATACGGTCAGCTTCAATGCTAAATTTGAATTGTTTTAGTACGACAGCAGCCGTGCTCTGAATAATTTAGTTATGCCCTCCTTACAGTTGCATTTTAGGAGAAATCATTTATGCTAGCTGTGAGGGGGCAAAGCGGCCCATTGGTGAGCAGAGCAAGGAATTTTAATGCCCATGTGATACTAGAGATGCTTTGAAAGTTTCTATCCTCAAACAGGAAAATCTTAGTCTTCCTTTTCTCTGCTACTGTCGGTTTGTTGCCTCTGGGATTTATCCAGAGCTTGATACAGCTCCTCAGAACAACTGCTTTTGGGAACTAAAGGTGGGAGCATCACGCTTTACATAAAGAACCAGTAACTGGGTTAAGCACAGTTTTTCTCATCCTCCCCTCTGTGCCGAGAAGTACACAAAGCAGACGTTGCCGTGGGACTTCCGATCCGAGTTTTCCAAACGGAATGCACAGCGCTTCCCCAACAAAACTGAATTTGCTGGTTAAGCTACCCGGCTTTTTAAAATGTATTTCCTGCTTTTAGTTCCGCGCTGTTGCGTTGTATCACTCCATAATTAAAAAGTCCAACAGAGGAAGGTTAGTAATGGAAACTTCTCTGTAGCAGTAACGTAAAAGCAGCAGGACCAAGGCTCTGGATATATTAACATCCTTCAGTTGTGCTTTGTGGTTAGCTGCCATTATCCGGAATGACATTAATGCATCCTTAAAGCATGACTAGGAACTAAAGTGCTATCCTGCTCCCTGGAGGACACTAGAAGAGTAGGAGCCCTTCACTTTCTCCTCTGTTTTCATTGCCGAATCTGTCTGCTTATCTCAAATGTGGCTTTTTTTCCAGCTGTCCTCTACTGATTGTTTTTATATCTGTACAGCCTCTGGGTAGCATTCCTGTAAGGTTTCCCTCATGCTAGGAGTTGGAAGAAAACAGAGGATCTTTTGTGGAGCACTGGCAAATTTAAACAAACCAGACAAGAAGCAGCGTAAGTCAGGTACAGTGCAGTGATTTTTTTTATTCACATTAAACTTTTTACAGTGAAAGTTACTGCAGCATAACAGTGCCTGTGAAGAAGGGGTTAAGATTGCAGAGCAAGGGTAGGCAGGGTGTGGGAACTCTTTACCTCACCCCCAAAGCTTTAGTTCAAGACAGTTTTCTCTGACAGCAGTTGATTGCTTTAATCTTTTAGCCTTATCACAAAGGCTTTCAGGCCCTGGAAGCTCCAATACAAGAACAGTGACCAGAACAGCGCGGTTAGAGGTAGGTGAGCACCAGCATTGCTGATACAGGAAGGTTTTCCCCTCCATCTGCTCATGCCCCTCTGTTTTGATTTCACAAGCTGCTTTCCCCCGCCTTCTGCCCGTTGTAAAAAAGGAAAGTGACCTTAGACTGTAGCGTTATGAAACTCCCTTGCTATATTCAGTAGGTGGGAGCAGCCCTCGTCCCGCCAGAGACACAAGGAACAATCGAAGATCTCTCTCCTCTCGCCCAGTCCCACTGGTGTAACTTACTGCCTTCTTGGCTGTTAGGATGCTTTTATAGGGTAAATGTTACACGTGAGTACATCGGGTGTACTACAGTTGGAGGTACTGTAAAGGTATTTAAAATAAATACATATTTTGCTGAAAAGCTTATGCGGACAATTAACCAATTCTCCTATGAAAAGAAGCGGTAGCACCTTGTTACTTTCTGGATTTGAACAGAGCAGAAGGGAGCTTCAGCTATGTCTAAGGAAGCGTTTTTAAATACGTAATTACAGTTGGATAATAAATAGAACTGCAATTCCTTGTCCTGTTCCCTCTCCTCCCCCTGGCTATTGTGATGATGGCATTTGCATCCAGTAAATTCATAATGTCTTTGTGGAGAGCTTTTTTTATTCTATCTAATGATGAGGATGAGGCCGGAGTGTTCTTTCACCTGAAATGCCTAAAGCAGGACTGTACTAAGTCATTTAGGGATTTTGGAAATCACACCTTATGTTCCAAAACCTGTTTCTGGCATCAGCCATAATTCTAATCTTCTCTTTTCCCCCCATAATTGAAATTTTAAGATGGAAAAGAATAATGAGCTTAATTTCTAGGGAAGTAGAAACCATCTGCTTTAGGACTTTTTTTTTGCCCTTTTAGAAAAATGCGTATCATTAACCAGGTTAAATCATACAGCTTACGGTCCTGACTGCAGCTTGACTTCCTCACAGGAGAGAAACTAGAAGACACTCAAATAGCAACGCCTGAGCAGCAAGACCTTGTTTCAGCCAAGAGTAATGATCTGTCCGTCCAGCAACGTGTGTTCAACCCAGACAACTCGGGTTTTGAGGTCCCTGAGACAACTGGATGCTGGTTTATGATCTGGGCAGTATCAGTGTATACTTGCCATGCTCCTGTACGCGATCTTGCCCAGTTGTGGTCGCTGACAGGCAGTACCGAGCAAGGTGGACCTTGGGTCCTACTCAACATCCTGTTGGTGCGTAAGACGTTAAAAATTTAGACTTCCCCGGTGGGAAGCGGGTTTCAGTTGGCAAAGCCTCTTCCACAGGGACAGACAAGCCTCAGTGCCGAATGACAAGACAAACTTTACTGAAATAATAAGCTCCACACATAAATGCACTACAAAAAAGCACATATTAACAAGTAGTTCATCTGCCCAGACCGTTTTATATAACAGAAAACACAGTTCTGCTACAAGGAAAGCTTTACCACTCTCTCAAACCAAACTGCACCAAAAAAAAATCAGTGTTTTTTAATGAAAGATACAGGTCAGATTTGAACCCGGTTCTACCCAGGCTGCACTGACTAAGGAGCAGCTTTCCTGAGAAATTCATAGGGGAGGTTTACAGGGTATTTTTTTTTTGTTTCCCCCACTTGCATTTTTATGAGATCATTCCCCTTTAGCTGCCAGCATTTGTATTCTTCAGCTGCTATGAGATCTTCTCAGCAAAGGCTGACACCAGGCTCAGTTTTCAGAGCGGCAGCGAGCCGTTTGGAACAGACGCCTTTCCAAGCTTCCGGCACAGAAGGTAATGGCCACGCATGCTATTTCCAACCTGCATTTGTTTCCTTTGCTGAGAGAACGTCCTCCCACAAGAGTTTGGATCAATAACTCCCTGAGAATTCAGCCTGGTCGGCACTTAGGATCCATGTGAGATACTATGCAAGAAACTGCTCCATCTGTTACAGAAGAGAACTTCAGCCGACATCTCCGAGCAGAGAGGAGAACAATCATTTCTGGCTCTAAGCTCTAGTTTTACTAAAGAGTTTAATCAGACTCAGCATTGCTGAAGCAGAAAGCAGACGGGAGCAATGGGAGCAGGCCAAGGGATATGCCACACAAAAGAACTTGTTGCAAACAGGTTTTCTCTGCCCCTTATCACTCAAACTTTCAAAACAAAGAGCAAAGGCAACCTTTAATATTCCCATCTCCCTCTAGTAACCTCGTTAGTGCCTGCACGAAGAATGCGAGACAGTCTTTGTTGTGGCGTCTGTTTTAGCTGGTTTTAACCAATGAGTCTATAGACGTAATTTTTTTTAAACAGGAAACTACCGCTTCGGTATGCTCACAGGTTTAAAACTTAACTGTACGCTTTTACCAAAACATCAGTTGCACTA